CAGAAGTCCGGTTCCAATTGGATTTTGATTCCCAAGACCCTGTTGACGTCGGTATGTGGAAGCTAAACAAAACTATTTAATATACTATATAATTGATATAGAACATTTTTAATAAGGTATAAATTAAAAAATAGAAATGAAAGATTTAAGGGAAACTAACGCCCTTGTTGAAGAATTTATGTTGTTAGCCAACATATCGGTAGCTGAAAAAATTTATTCAAAATTCCCAGCATCTTCGTTATTGAGGTATTTATATGATATTATTTATTGTGTGCTACATTATTTAAAGCTAACAACTTTATTTTTATTTTATAGGCGACATCCTCCTCCAACGTCAACTAAGCTCGAGGAATTATCTAATTCAATGAAACCATTTAATCTTTCGTTGGAGTTTGAGACATCAAAAGCTCTTGCAGATTCTTTAGATCGTGCTGTGGTAGGCAAATAATAACAATACAAATACTCCGATCACTATATCAAGATCACGAGACATTTAGCAAAAATACCCTGATTCGTATGTGTACAAGCGGAAACGAGTTTCCGCTAATACCCAACGAGTCTGGATATTTTATTACAAATAACAATAATGACACTAATTATTTAGGTGTTTTAATTTCTAATCGTTATATTTTCTAAATAGTTACACAATGATCCATACTTCAACAAGTTGCTAAGAATATTAACAACGAGAGCTATGATGCAAGCTCTTTACTTTTGTTCCGGTACACTACAATTTCAAGAATTTAGGCATTACGGTCTTGCAGCGGAAATATATACACATTTCACTTCACCTATTAGAAGATATTCAGGTAAGATATTTCTCCTTAATCACTAAACTTGTTTTCCGCAAATATCTTAAATAACCTTTCTATTTTAAGATGTCATTGTACATCGGTTGCTGCATGCAGCTATAAATCCTGATGTGAATTATGGTCAAGAGCTGGTAGATATAAGTAAGATGCAAAAACTTTCAGAAGGTAACCTATATTCTATTCATTTTTGTTCTTTACTTCATGACTTTATTAATATTTATATTTCATCGGTAGTGCTGAATCATCGCCACAGGATGGCGCAATTAGCTGCTCGCAGCTCAGTAGAATTACATACGAATATTTTCTTTAAAGGAAAAATAGAGCAAGATGAAGGATATGTGACGCGCGTATTAAAAAACGGATTTATTGTGCTTGTTCCAAAGTATTTATTCTTTAAAAGAAATATCATAACTGGATTTATCGATTTTCCCGTTTAAACATCAGTACTTACATTAATTTTGTTCACTAGATACGGGATAGAAGGAATCGTATATTCATCATCAGCAAGCACTACGGCAAAATCTCCAACTACATCATCGGTTGTCTACAATCCTCATAACAATAGTCTTGAATCACAAACACCTACTGGCATAGTATCTATTAAATTATTTGATCGAGTAATAGTGCAAATTACTGTAGATGAAGATTTAGTTGGTGGTATGAGACAAAAATTGAAAATGGAATTAGTTAGCCCATTCATTCCTGGTCTGAGCGTATCGGACAATAATTTAAGAAAAAAAGAGGTTAGAATAGAGGATGAGGATGATGGAGGAAATGGAAAAAGAATGAGAATTGATAATTTTTGAACTTATTATACTTGATAAGATTTATGTATACATAATTTCCAGATTCAATTATTTACCCTTTCATTTTGTCATTTAATATTTTTGAGATACTCAGTCAATAATAAATGCATCATACTGGGTTGTTAATTGGTGCAACATTCTCCAGTTTAGCACTGGGTTGCTCCGTAATTTTCAAATTTTACAGAGTGAAACAATCTTTTAGTCAATCAAATGTGCAGATAAATCATTGTAATGAAATATAATTCAGTTTTAATGTTCGTAAGTATGTATATGTTACGGGTCAAATTGGTTTTTAGGTCAAGTTAAACTTGATCCGGGTCAAATTGATTCCTAGCAGAATTTAGGGTTAGGGCGGGCCGGAATTATGTTGATGCCGGCCGGGTTTTTGAATTGATCAATTTTAGAGATTGCAGATAGGATCGAAAGAAGTTCATCTTTATATGAAGATGGCCAAAGGTAGATTTTTGCTGAGAATTTGTGTATAATGTGGTTGTTAGCATCTGGCTGAACCCAACTCACACCCATTGTATAATCTTGTATGCCAATATCAATTACAGATCTATTTGTATAGAAATTGAGTTGGGATTGTATAGAGTTAGTATTAGAAAATTGTTTGAGCTTGGAGGTAGCTTCTCCAGTTTTAAAAATCTGAGATGCAACAGAGCTATTGATAGGAATTAATGGTGGAGTAGGAATTCAGCTAAAGTATTTTTTTTTTTTTTTTAAGATAAGATTTTGCTTTTATCTTTATTAATATTTTGTATTGAGAATCCACTATGGGTTTCTCTGGCCAGAGCCAATTTACAAAAATTTTTAC